ATTATATATATATATATTATATATATACACATCTTGAATTGTATATATTGTTTAATATTCCTGCTGGTCCTACATGTAGCTGCTCATCAAAACCTGTCTCGGACTGGTTTCCAGCAGCTCCAGGTCAAGTTGTCCTTTTTTAATTTAACTTTCCAACTTGTATAAACCCTCTTACTCTTTAAAATTTCCTGTTTTGCTTTGATGCTGCAGTCCAGGAGCAGGATCATAATCCAGCAAGACAGTTTTAAGAACAAAAGCCAATGCGTTGAGTTTTCTTTACCATTTCATCCTTGATGAGTAAAAGTGAGACAGGTGATCAGTTTCGATACAAACTGATCCAGTGTGTCTTTTTTAGAAGCTCTCCACAATAAGTGATGACATCTTCTACTAGAAAACAGCCAACAGCATCAACTTCTGTACTTAAATGTGAACAAAGTGTTTTAATCATGAACTAGCAGCTCATTGACCAACACTGATGGCATCCCGGCTTTTCTCATCTAAAATAAATGGTGGCAGTTTTGTTGCCGTGTGAACGAGGTCGAAGTAATTTGCTTTTCTGTTCTGTACAGACCTCTGTTGCTGCTAAATATTTTTGATTATGAATAAACGTCTGCTTTAACATCCGTCCTAAATGTGTCCTTATCTTATTTATCATCTGCACAAAAATTTAAAAAACTGCTCAAGTCAGTTTGTTGTTTGACATCAGACTCCAATTTGGATTCAATAAAACACTTTGTAGTTATTTAACATTAATTAAAAGCCTGTTAGATTACAAAAAAAAAATCTTAATTTTAAAAGGTAAAAAAGAAGTCAAATCAAAATACTGATAAATAAAACAATGAAATGTTCCAGATGGAAGAATAAAATTGAGTAAAACAATTATAATTAAGCTGGCGTACTCCAGTTGCAGAATAACATTCCACTGTAAGGATTTAAAAAGTGCTTCAACAAATTTCAGCAAAAAATTACAAACCTAATCGCTTGTGGAGGGTTTTACATCAAGTGGGGTGAAGTCTCAAACCTTTAAATTTTTTAAACCAACATCAGTTTGTAAAATCCTTTCACTTTTACTTGTTAAAACACTCGTAACTTCTTTTTTCCCTTCGTAATGCTCAAGTTTCTTCTTCAGTCCAAGATTTGATCGCAGATAATGACTTACACAGACAAAAACACACACGAGGAGAAATATGACAAAAATAAATACATGTATATAATCTTTTATTCCACAAAATAACATTCTCTGTAAAAAAAAAAAACTCATAAACAAGTCAGTTTAAAAATACATTCTCTGTACAGTGGTCGTACTTAAAATATTTACCTTCATCAGAGCAGAGCTGTGTGTAAATAGATCACATTTAAGACATTTTTAAGTTATAAAACATCATTTTGAAACAACTCTGCTACAAAGTTCGGCACCAAGTGATTGTAAAAAGCTGCAAACGATCCACTGGCCTCAAAAGAGAAGAACCCCCCTGCTGCCCTGGGGTCAGATTTGACCCCAGGGCAGCAGGAGGGTTAACACAGGTGGGTATGTGTGTGTTAGCAGCTAAAGCCTGTTTGGTAAGGAGCTAAATAAATCAGAGGCAGGTGTTACACAAGTCACAGAGAAAGTTGCTCAGTCCCTTTAGTTTTTTGTTTTTTTAGCCTTTTGATGATCTGTAAACGTTCGCGCTCGGCTCGGGGTGACGGTCTCTCCAAAAGCGAGAGAAAAGTTCTCCCCTCCTTCAAAGCAGGCGTCGTTTTGTAATCACGTCTCGGAAAGCACGATGACACGCAATGTTGAAAGACAAGTTCAAATGTGCCAGGAGAGCAGCGTAGACAGAAAATGCACATCAAATGTTAAATATGCTTTTTTTTTTTTTTTTCAGTTAAAGATCATGTTGTCATTCTAAAAGCGTACATTTTAAAACTATTCTAAAATATATGCAAACAGCTTATTTGTGCTTCATACCAAGGCATTTCATTTTTATAAGCTGTAGTGGACAAAGATTAAAAACACCGTCAGCGTGACCAAATATTCGTGTTTTATGTTGCTGATAAAGACGGACAGTGTAATAAAAACACACGAGCTGACTGAGTTCATGCACGGCGTATAAGCCGGCGCGCAGATGAAGAGCGTGATTCTCCTCGGCAGCGCAGACGAGGTCTTCTCACTTCAAACAGACCAACATGAGGCCAGGCTTTGGTTCACTGAACCTGAGAGATGCAGATACCAGAGGAGGTAGGTGAGCATGCCGAGTTGTTACAGCCTCTGTGTGTGTGTATGTGTGTGTACCTGTAGTGGTTGTTGTTGAGGTAGTCTATAACGGCGGGGCGGATGCGGGCCACGCCCCCCTGGCTGTGGTTCCCTCTTCCTGTGATGACAGAGAGATGGGGCTGACACAAACCCTGCTCACAGTCTGTCCAGAGACATAAAACACAGAGTAACGTTAGAACATTCATGTGCTGCAGTCCCAACGTTCTTCTAACATCATTTTGGATCTGCGCTCTGATGATCTGAGTCGTGCTGCTTTTCTGTAGGAAAGCATAAACTACCTGCAATTTTGTCATGCAAGACCTGAGCCAGGTGCTCGAGGGCTTCGTCCACGTGCAGCCCGTGGAGGTCCAGGATGTTTCTGGGCAACAGCGACGAGTTGACGCGCTCGAAGATTTGAACTGCTGCTCGGTGGTTGGCTTCACGCATCCGCTGGCCGTGCAGGTGACCCTGAAACACAGGTGGACAAATAAATAAATAAATCATTCAAAGTTTAAAAAGAAAACGACGTATGAGAGAGGCTACAGCTTTATACTTTTTGAGAAAAGTCTTAAGCTTCTTTTTAATTAAATTATAATCGTCTATGAATTTTACTTTAGAAATCATACATTGGGAACTACATTTAGTTCATATCAAACAGAAGCTGCCTTAATATGTTGGTGTTTTATAAAGAGTTAGTGAATTATTGGACATTAAATGTTCACATTTATTGAAGTGCTCTCTTGTAATGCTATATAAAATATTTTTAATAAATGCTACACTTTGTGTGCAAGAAATGTTTATAAAACAAATCTAAACACAATATTTAAACTTCACAAAGAACTATCAGAAAAACACATAAAAGCTCTTATTACAGACAAATAATTTTATATTATAACATTTTATAATGGAATGTATTTTCATGTGGCCAACAGGAGCCTTCCAAGTTCTTTCCAATATATTTATTTACATTAAAAGAGAACATTTAATTTATGAGTTATTAAAAACTGAACGTTCTTGAGCTAAAACTAATGTGACGATGTGTTTCAGTGCTGGGAGCGTGGTGGAGTCAGGGGGTGGCTAGTGGTGGCCTTCACCATATATTAATCTTTGGCCACCCCAGTCATTGGTGGAAACTATACTTTTAAGCAATAAATAAAACTGAAAAGCATATTTTGCTCAAATGATTGAGGCGACCAGTTTACATGTATGATGGTGGCCATCTTGAATTTTGTATTGGCAATAAAAATGTTTTGATAGTGAAATTTTTTTACACCTAAATGTAGCCACACCCCAAAATGGAAATCGGCACTTTGCTTATTTTCTACGTTACATAACTCACAAGTTTTACTAACTTACATTTATGGCAGCAGCCATCTTGGATTTTGACGTTGTAACCCACTTTTTGATGGTGGCCTTTCTTACGCCTAGATGTAGCCACATGCCAAAATGGAAGTCGGTATCTCACCTATTTTTTAGGTTTTCATGTCCATAACACAGTTGGGACATTGATAGTGGCTGCCATCTTGGATTTTGACATGGCAACCCAATTTTCCAAAGGAACCTTTGTTTTCCTTAGATGCAGCCACACACTAAAATTGAAGTTGACACGTTGCTTATTTTTCCAAGTTATTATGCTCACAACGTGCACGGATAGATGGAGGGTACTTCCAGTTCCCCCTTTTGCTCCGTGACAAGGGACAAAACGGTTCAAACTGTGAAACGATTCCGTTATAATTACAAAGTCTTTAAAGTTAGTAAAACATGTTTACTGTATCTGTTTTTCTTTTCTGTCTCGTTGAATTTGACACAAGATGGGTGTGAACAAATTTTGCCACCAACCTACACCTCTTTTTGTTTATTTGTTTTATTCTGTCAGTGTAACTGTTATTTTTAATTTAATAAATGAAAAAATATTCACTTTTAGGGTGAACAGCTGCCTCGGCAACCTGATCTGACCGTGTTAAAAGAAAAAAATCCACCAGAGCTAACAGGAAAAAAACTTTTCTTTTCCAGCATGCGTTTGTACAGAAACACAACAGACTTTAAACACTCTAACCCCCTTCAGTTCTAGTGGTTGTAAAATGTAAACATCAAAAAGATGTTGACGAAGACAGAAATAAGATAGTGTTGGGGCAATCAACATTAAAATATGAAAAACAAGGAGCAGCTCCACAGTAAGTAAAGGAACAGAAGCCTTTCTATTTAACTACTCATTCATATTGCAACAAATAATTAATAAATAACATTCTCCCTCGTCTATTTACCTGTTGGGCATAAAATGAGGCCACCTCTTTGCGCCCCTGCTTGAAGGCATCTGCGGCTTTTGCAAAGCTCTCGAGCTGTCGCTTCTTCTGAAGGTTGGCCTCGGCCCTGAAGTCTTCATATTCTGGGTCCTCGGTGTCCTGGAAGCTGTGAGCATCCAACTCCGGGTGCCTCTGCTTCTGTCAGAACCAAAGAACGGGGAGAACACAGCTAGTGAAGAGCTGGGAGATGTGCATAGACACATGTGAGCGCAGCATGAGGGTGCCACAGTTTGCCTCTCCTTCATCTTGCGCATACCTTTTCTCTCTCCTTGCTGGCTGCTCTGTGGCGGTCAGACCGAGGAGCTTCTGGAGCGACGACGTTCTTCACGGGTTCCTCGTTCAGCAGAGAGCGGAGAAACAGCTCCGTCTGCGTTAGGCTGTAACTAGGAGACGGAAACGCAGATTTTTAAAAAAGGGACTTAGTGTAAAAAAGCACTGGAGTTGCAAGAAGCTGCTTGAGACAAACACGTTTTCTCTTTCTCAAGTATAAAAAAGGTGAGTTTAAAACTTATTTGGTTTATATGGAAGCAATTAAAGGGGTACAGAGTGAGTAGCATGAATGATCATTTCAAAACACACTGCAGTGAAAAATGAGTTTGATTTTCAAGGATTATGGAGTGACTGACACTCTTGTTGAACTTGTTGCACAGAGAACTGTCCCCCGTGCAGCTCCGACTCGAGGTCTCTGCTTCCTTGAGAGCTGCAGGTTTCTCTTTGAACGCCAACAGTCTCAGGGAGATCAGAGATCAGATTACTGACGGGGGGAGGCTGACGGTAACAAGATCATTCCCCATCTAACAGTGGGAGGAACGAAGGTGCGCCAGTGGAGCTGTTACCATATTTTCACAGATTCATCAGATAAATAAACTGATTATTTCTGTTTTATATGTTGATAATACGGTGTATGCTGGTGGCATTATGGTATAATGCTTCTACTAATTTAGTAGCTTATCTATTTATTTGTCAAAAGCTGGAAAAGATAAGTCAAATGCTGCTCAGGGGCCCAACATGATGTTATTATAAATTAGTCTGTCAGTCATTTAATTTGTCACAAAAACAATCAAACAATGATAATATGAGCATTAATACATTATCTCGTTTCAATGACAAGATTAATCATAAATTGTGGCAGAATAAATTAAGCCTGGAGTAATTAGTTAAGTTTATTTCTTCCCAGTCCAGAGTGGACAGCTCACCTTGTGTAAGAGTAAAAAACCTCTGCTGCTGCTCCCGTTAGCTGAATAAATTAATCACCCTCGGCTGGTATATTTTGTTATCAATTTGCCTGATTTTCTTTGGTTTCTTTGCTAATTTTAAAAAGGACACAAACAGCCTGCAGGTTACTAGTAGAAGGTATAAAAAGGCTTTTTATAAAACTGTACAACAAAGCCATAAATCACTGACCGATACAACGACTGTTTTACAGATGGAGCAGGAGAACTGCTTTATAAGGTCTGTTGAGCATCGCTGCAAAAAGAGCTGTTTCGCAGAGATGCATTCATTTCAAGTTTTAAAATGGAAACGGGTTTAGTTTTCTTGACTACATGATTATCATACAGAGCCCTGAAAGTGTTGAAATAAAAACATCATTGAGAAATTCAGCCGGTGTCCTCTGTAGATGGTTTTTAAACCACCATTTGCACACGGTGCTGCAGTAACTTCTGTTTCCACACTTAGATCTAAAATAGGGATGCACCGATCCACTTTTTTTTTTACTTCCGATCCCGATACCCAAAACTGAATATCGGCCGATACCGATCCAGTTTCAATATCATGATCATCATAGATTTTACACGAGGCTGTAATAATCTCCTCTCAAGTACAATTTGTACAAATATATGCATGCATGTCCAAAAAGGCAACTTGAGGCAAGTTTTATTAATGTTGGATAAGTTTTAAAGTTAGAATTAAATTCTAACACAAAACATGTTTATTTTTATTCCTAGTTTTAAAGTGGATATTAAAGTGATTAATTTAAGTGATTGTTTAAAGTTATTTTATATTTTTTTAAATAAGGGGCAGATATAAGAATTATTTTTCTTCTTTCTGCACTCTTCTCATTCAGTATTTTCTTTTTGATGATTTTTTTTTATTTTGTTTCATTTAAATGAATGAATAAATTAATTAAATAAAATAAAATGTTAAATGACTTCAAACATCTGCTAAGTTCATGGCATAAACCAACAGACATGTTCCTGTTTTTAGTATTTTAAATCACTTTATAATGTAGCTGTTTTTGTTTTTAATATATATAATTTTCAAATCATGTTTTTTATGATTGTTTACTGTTGTACTGATAAATATCTCCTGGAGGGTAAACTATATCTTGGCTGCAAGTATCAAGCTGAGAAATCCTTCATTTTCTACAACTGATAGTGGTTGGTCATTAATTATGAAGTTTAGAAACTTCTCTGTAAACATTTGAGCTCCGTGGTTTCAGCGACGTCTTCTTCTTGTTCAAGCCGAAGCAGGCAGCCTGATTTGGGGCAGCCACGCTCAGTCTGTCCCTCCTCAGAGACGGGCAGACTGAGCGGGGCAGATTGGACTCGGCTGGCCGGGGTTGAGTCGCCTGTTGTGGGTTGAGCAAAGAGCAGCGCCCCGCTGAAGCCCCGGAGCTCGAATGTCCATCGTAAAACTAAATTTACCGTGGTTTAATGTGGCGCTATGGCTCTGCAGACATTGCACGATGCTGTCTTGTTTGTGGTGTTTCTAGTGTAAAATACTTCCACACAGTGGACATGTTCAGATGAAAAGTTTGTTAGCTGTTAGCCACAGTGCTGCTAACTCAGTCCTCACGTTGTAGCTGGCTGCAAACTATGAACTGGATTTCCTGAATGTGAGGCGGGTCTTATTACTCTGGGTTCATGAGACAAGCCGCCGTTCAGGAAATCCATTCCATAGTTTGAAGCCAACTTGCATCATGGATCGGAAATATCAGCTGGTGGATCGGAAAAATCCGATACGTAAATCATGCTGGTATCGGAGGCCGATACCGATACTGGATCGGATCGGCCCCATCCCTAATCTAAAAGTCACTGGGTTCTGTTTCCAGTTAAAGAGGATCCAGTCCCAGTTTGTCTTACTTGTGATCTCTGAAGATGTCCTGGAGAAAATGCTTGTCGATAGCGGGGAACAGTGAAAACAGCTGCTTCTCTTTCAGAAACGTGGCTCCATCCTGGGGGTAAAGGTCAGCTCGGGTTTGTCTGGTCTGATTGAAACACGTATTAAAAAAATAAAAAGCTCTTCTGATAAAAGAAGCAAAACAACAGGGCATTGTCTTGTTACCTTTTGCATGCTCTGCTGCAAAGCCTGCTCCTCTTTTATAATATCTCTGAGAGAAACGTGTGGACGGGACACATTCCAGTGGTCCATGAATGGCATTGGACCACCGGCCTCTGGCTGGTTGACCAGCAGCACGTCACTATCTTTGCTCATTAAGAAATCAGCTGGCTGTGTCCTGTCTCGTGCTCCATCAAGCCCGCTTACTGAACCTAAACATTTAAAGAAGCAAATCTAGCAGATTTCAAACAAAAGCATCTCCAGACTTTGGTTTACATTTCTGCATCAGTATTGTCGTCACACGCTGTAGTAATGCTGCTGCGTTCCTTCCAGGGTGCTTCGATATCATCTAAAATTATGTTTGAGTGTCAAAACTTACTTTGCTGAAGCAAGTGAAAAGAAAGATCAGCTTGTCTTTGTTTCTCCTGAAAAATAAAACATGTCTAAATGAAACAACAACCCTCTGACAAAGGCTTTAAATGAATCGGAGCACGGATACCGCAGCGCAGAGGGGGTTTCTGGTCGTGCTCACCTGAATAGTTTCCTTCCACTTTTGGTGGAGCAGTTTGGCCAGCTTCAGGTCCATCTGCACAGCAAGGTCATCTGCTGAGCATGCACCTTAGAACAGACATCCACTTAGGACTTTAGTTTTATTTTCCCTGCAGTTGTTTCATGCTTGAGCTCTAGGGTTACAAACGGTGCACCTTAAACTGTCATTAAGTTCAAACTACAAAACTCTTTAGTGTCATTAGTTACCTGGGTCTACTCCGACAGGACCGAACAGCTCTGTTAACTGTAGCCCCAGCTCGGTGGGCAGTTTCAGCTCCACAGTCTGAATGTCCAGACGTTGGCTCTGCCCTTTCCTCTGCTCTTCCTCCCTTTCCAGCTCCTCGACCTCAGCCTGCAGCAGTCGATTGATCTCATCCATGCTGGCAATCTCATCTCGATTATTGGTCCACGACTTGTCTGTGATTTCCTCGTTATTCACGCTCCCACCCCAAGCTCCTCCCCCTTCATGACCATGTTGTGGTGTCACCTTGTGCTCAGCACTCATGCTTTTTTCTAACTCTTTTTCAGCTTCTGGAAGGAAGAGTTCTGTTTGGGGAGTTTTTTCTGAATCTAAAGTTGCACCTGATGCCTCCTTGCTTGTGCTTGGATCAGATGTGCCTTCAGAAGACACACCTGTGTTTCCATTTCCTTCATTAGACTCATTCACCGTCCCACACGCTGACTGCAGGAGGCCCTCCTCCATCCCAGTTTGCTCTCCTTTTAGCCGGTCGTCGTGTTTTGATGCTTCAGGACATTTAACGGGTTCTAAATTTTCACATAAACCTTCAAACTGACTGCATGTATTGGAGTTTTCATCAGCTGCACCGTGCTCCTCCTCACCTTCTTCATCCCTAAAGAACCTCTCTCCAGAGTCCAGCAGCAGGTTGGTGGTCCATTCTAAGTCCTGGTGGCACTTGTCATACAGATCCTCCAACATGTCAAAACTAACGAGCTTAAAATGGCGGCTGAGAATGTGCATGCTCGCGAGCCGGTCTTGAGCCACCCCTAGTTCCTTCTCCTCCACCTGAGTGCCTCTCTCGTGCACCACACGGTACGGTACCGGGTCTGCAACTGCTGCAGAGGGTCGAGGCACAAAACGGGACGGATTACCCTCTGTGACTTTGCAGTCGCAGGATTGTCCGTCCACAGGCACAGCTGTATCATCAGAGCTGTGGCGACAAGTGAGGCGCCAAAGAAGAGCAAAGTCCTGAGGTTCTGTCTGAGTGAAGCGACCCGTTTGCGTCAGAACAACCGGGAGCTGTGACTGTCCCTCAGAATTAGAGCTGGAAAGCAGGTCCACATCTGGTTTATGGTCACAACTGGTAGCAGGATCAGGATTAAAAATAGGTTGGGCATCCGAGTCATCTCTGTTTGTATTATCTTTGACGTCAGCTGAAGGATTTAGACGGTCTGGATCATTTAATGAAGAGGAGGGGCAGTTCTGAGTGAATGTGAGGGCAAGCCTACAATGCTTCCCTGACCTCCGACCCTGTCGCTGCTTTCTTTCCTGAGAGCTTCTGCCATTCTCTTTGTCCGTCACCCCCTCACACGCTGGACTCTCACACGTCTCACTAAGAAAGCTGCCATCAGCCTTACTCACAGCCTCACTGGTACTTTCTGTTGATTCTTTCAGATCCACAACTTTACTGGCCTCGCTTTGACCACTGGAGTTTCCTCCTTCATCTCCACACTCAAAGTCAACCAGTTCAATGACAGTCTCAGACACATTTGTATTTTTTTCAGTGCTGCTACTTGTTTCAATTTCAATTTGAACTTGCTCTAAATCATCAGTACACAAGTCGGCTGCCACCCAGTCTTCGAAAGCTGCCACCCAGTCTTGGATACAGTCGGGTAACGCTCCTTTGCTGCTGGCTCTGCCGTCTCCTGCCTCATCTTTTTCTTCAGTCTCATCTCCAGAGCTCAGCGAGAGGGACTGTGAGCCTGAAGAGCTGGGCTGAACTGGGACCACACCAGTCTGAATAACATCAAGAAGCTTTTGAAACTCAGTGACATCTGGTCCAGACGTCTCACTCTTTATGTTTTCATCATCACTCGCTGCTCCCTCTGCTTTCTTCACCTCTGTATGCCTCTCTTTTCTTCTCACTTGTCGCTGTTCAAGAGACCCCTCAGTGGGCCAGTCTCCCTCAAACATCGTAGGCACCTCCTCCTTCACCATCTTGCCCCTTTCTGCCTCCTCAAGCTTTGAGCTTTCTCTATCTGACTGGTCAGTATCTTTCACTAAATCTACCAGCTCCTCTGTGTCTAAACCAGCCCTCCTGCTTGCTCTTTCCCTCTTCACTCTCTGTCCAATAGATTCAAAAAAAGCCACCTGCACTTCATCCCCAAACTGATTTTCATTCATCACCGACTCCACGATACAGTCTGGGATTCTTAGGTCGTCGCCCAGCTGGGTTGGCTCGAACTGGGCGTCCAGCTGAGAATCCAGTTCACCCAAATCACTGTAATCATCTGAATCAGAACCGTCAGGCTTGTTGCTAGCTGCTTCTTGGAGGCTGAGCGACCCTGGGGATTCACAGGAAGGGCCTTCATGGACTCCTGCTTCGCCGGGAAGACAGAGCGACGACACGTCAGGGAGGGAGGAAAACAACTGGGGGTGGGCTTTTTTATGTTCCTCAATCGGTCCAGGCTGACCTACGAGGTCAGGGCAAGGTGAGCCAGAAGTGAATGGGCTAAAGACAAAACAAACAAAAAACAAACATATTTTTAACGTTAATATAATAAATTCAATCCATTCTCATTCCAATAATCTAACAAGTAAAATAACTGTATATGAAAGCCAAAACAAGCTCATTATTTTTATTGGTGAGTTTGAGAAATTTAATAAATATACTGTACGCTGCTGTTTTCTTTCAGCGGTTGTTATTTTTATGAGCAACAAAAAAAGTCCACATTAAGCAGCTACTAATCTGTTTGATCATTCACACAAACCCAACCCGAGGAGTCTCGGCAGCACAAACAGTGCGGAGCAAGCCGGCTCTGCAGACCAAGCCGAGTGACAAAAACAGTTTTTGATGAGAATAGATCACTTCAGTACGCTGGCTCTCTCCTACAACCACACCAGTCCAGTTTTCTAACAAACTCTGGTGTCACTTTAGAAAGTCAGAAGTATACGAACACTGACCCCATTCCACTTTCTGCACTTGCAAATGTTTTTAAGCAACAAAGATGCATTAATTCTGCTTTAAACATGCAGTGTGAGAAAAGCCTGCAGAAGCTTGACAACAATCAGCAAAACTAGCTAAATTTTGTCTTTGCACGATGGAGAAGAAGTATGACAGTAGAACTATGACAGTAGAACTATGACAGTAGAACTATGACAGTAGAACTATGACAGTAGAAGTATGACAGTAGAAGTATGACAGTAGAAGTATGATAGTAGAAGTATGACAGTTAGAAGTATGACAGTGGAAGTATGACAGTAGAAATATGACAGTAGAAGTATGACAGTAGAAGTATGACAGTAGAAGTATGACAGTAGAAATATGACAGTAGAAGTATGACAGATGATCCAAATGATGTTTCTCATTTGGATCATTTGTCATACTTCTACTATTTAAAGTCTGACCTTCAACGAAATTTAAATACATCCAAAGTAAATACAACTATTTTAAATTATTTACAAAGTGTTTGTTCTCTAAATCATGGTAAAAACTGTTTCTTACTAGTTTATAACAATAAACTGTTTAAACTACATTTAAGCGTCAAAGCGTTTTGCTGTATTAATGTACACATGAATTTTTAAAGTATCTAAAGATAGCAGACTGAATAATATTTCAAATGAAAGCTACCTTTACTTCAAGACACTCTGAAAGTCGATGACCATGTCTTTTTATGAGTAATAATCATATGTTTCTGTCCAAATGCAATTAGATACTAATAGGAGAACATGATGTAGTAAAAAATAAAAAGATTACCTTATGGTGGACTTGACTGATTGATTGATTGATTGATTGATTGATTGATTGATTGATTGATTGATTGGATGATTGTGGCTTACATATAATGAAAAAGACAAAACTCAGTGTCTCAGAAAATTAGAATATTGGGCAGAGGTTCAATATTGTAAACTCCTGGTGTCTCACCTTGATCAGCTGATGAACTCTTGGACATGAGCTACAAATGTCTCAGTCCTCGAGTCCAGCCACAACATCAGAAGCATCTTACCTGCTGAGGAGACAAAAAACTGGACTGCTGCTCAGAGGTCCATGTCCTCTTTTCAGATTAAATTTTCACATATTTTCTGGAGGAAGAGGAGAGGTCCAGAATCCATGTTGTTGAAGTCCAGGGTGAAGTTTCCACAGTCAGTGGTGGTTTGGGTCCATGTCCTCTGCTGGTGCTGGTCCACTGTGTTTTCTGGAGTCCACAGTCCACCCAGCATCTAGCAGGACATTTTAGAGACTTCATGCTCCTTCTGCAGACGAGCTTTATGGAGATGCTGGATTCATGTTCCAGCAGGACTCACACTGACAAAGTACCAACAGCTGACTGTGGAATATTCTCATTTTATGAGACACTGAGTTTTGTTTATTCAATATTTGTAAGACATACCAGCAATCACCATAACTACAAGAAATAAAAGCTTGAAATATTTAACTCTGTAATGAATCTGTGTAATAAATGACTTTTACTTTCTGAAATGAATGACAAGAAAAATTGAACTTTTTCACAATATTCTAATGTTTTTAGATGCACCAGTTTATTTACAGTGCTTGTAGAAAGGACAAAACATAGTTTATAAAAATGACACCACTTCTTCACTAAATCTGACCTTATTTCTTCTTCAAAGCAATGACACAAAGCTTGCAAGTGCTCACTTTTCTAGGCATAAGTTAAAATAAGAATACAAATAAAGAATAAGAATAAAATAATAATAAATAAAATAATAATAAGTTAAAACAGAAAACCTTGGCTGAATGCAGAGGTTCACACCCTGCTGGAAGCCAGGGACACTGACTTCAGGTCTGGAAACGCACAGGAGCTGAGAAGGACAAGGAAAGAGCTGCTTGCTGGTATTAAGAGGGCCAAGGCCACATATGCACAGAGGATCCAGGGTCAATTCACCTCACAAGACCCCCGGCGCATGTGGAGGGGCATTAAGTGCATAACAGATTATAAAGGAAGGAGTGAACAATGTCCCAAAGACCCATCTCTGCCTGATGCCCTCAACAAGTTCTATGCACGCTTTGAAGACCCGAACAGACCCCCCAGCACCAGACTCACTTCACCACCGGATGAAGAGCATCTCAGCGTGACCTCAGCAGAAGTAAGGAGTACTTTCAGGAGGATTAACCCTCACAAAGCAACCGGCCCAGACAACATCCCAGGAAAAGTGTTGAAATAATGTGCTGATCAGCTCTGTGAGGTGCTGGCAGACATCTTTAACACCTCACTTACCCTGGAGACAGTTCCCACCTGCCTGAAGACAGCCACTATCATCCCAGTCCCAAAAAGCTCTACAGTGACTGGTCTGAATGACTATCGGCCAGGGGCCCTCACCCCGATAGTCGCTAAATGCTCCGAAAAACTGGTCATGACTCACATCAAAACAACATCAACATCAACGAGGACCCTCATCAGTACGCATACCATGAGAACTGATCAACAGAGGACGCCATCTCCTCTGTGGTCCACACTGTTCTCACCCACCTGGAGCAGAAAGACTCTTACGTTCATATGCTCTTTGTGGACTTCACATCTGCTTTCAACACCATGATCCCCCAAACACTGATGGACAAACTATTCACACTAGGACTAAGCCCCTCCATTTGCAACTGGGTACTAGACTTTTTAACAAACAAACCACAGTTAGTGAGGATCCACAACCTCTCCTCCTGCACCATAAAGCCCCCAGTATACTGCCGCGTACATCCATACGCAGAGGTACGCACGTAGGCACGCAGAGGTATGAGCGTACCCCCCAGCGTACCCTCCGTGCAAAGCTCCAATTTTTACAACCGCATACGTGTATGCGGTGTCGCACAATAAACTGCCAAGCGACGGACTGTTTTGTATGCGACACCAATGTATTAAATTTCCCTTCTTCATCCCTTATCTGGCCTTTTCTTTTGTTTTTTTGCCAAGAGGCAGTGATCTCTTCCTCCTCTGTTGATGCCATGACTGAAATGGTGAGAAATTAAGGAATTTGTCACGAGCGAATTAAACTCAGGTCCAGCGTGGCTGCGGGAGGGTCTGGAGATTTCCTGGTGGGCTGGTCTGATGTGTGGGCTGCAGAGCCAGCGCTCCCTGATTTTTTTATTTTTTAGATTTTTTTATTAACAACATATAAACACAGAACACCGCTGCTGCGGAGGCTGCCAGCGCTCGCTTTTTTTCTTTTTTCCAACCTGTCAATCAATCCAGTAGGCGTGTCAGCAAATGACCAATCGGCGACCTCAATTTGTCCCGAAGGTAAACACCCCTTGTCTGTGAAGCTGCTCTGCAGCTGCTCGGGGTGTACGCTGGAGTACCATGACTGAACCCTCTGCGTACCGTTCACGTGTACGTACGCGTGAACGGACATATGCGGCAGTATACTGGAGGCTTAACCCTCAGCACTGGCTCTACTCGGGGATGTGTGTTGAGCCCCCTCCTGTTCACTCTGCTCACGTATGATTGTGCAGCTGCCCATCCAGGCTGTCACATTGTAAAGTTTGCAGATGATACAGCGGTGGTGGGATGCATCACAAACAACGATGAGGCAAGAGGTGGAACACCTGGAGAGCTGGTGCAAAGAGAATAACCTTCACATCAATGTGAAGAAGACAAAGGAGATGACTGTGGACTTCAGAAGGAACAAAAACATCTACACCTCCCTGAACATAAGAGGATCTGCAGTGGAAGTGGTCTCCAGCTACAAGTACTTGGGTGTACACATGAATGACCTCAGCTGGAGCAACAACACCACCAGCCTGATCAAGAAAGATCATCAGAGACTCTACTTCCTCAGATGGCTGGGACGAGCTGGTCTGGGAAGCTCAGTCCTCACCTCCTTCTACAGGTGTGCAGTGGAGAGCATCCTGTGCTCCAGCATCAACGTGTGGCATGGAGGCTGCACAGCTGCAGAAAGAAAAGCTTTGCAGAGAGTGGTGAAGGCTGCACAGAAGTCTGTTGGAGTCAGTCTCCCCACCATCACAGACATCTACACCTCCAGATGCAGGAAGAGGGCCACCTGCATCATGAAGGACCCCACCCACCCAGCACACACACTTTTTGCCCCACTCCCCTCAGGAAGGAGGTTAAGGAGCATTAAGTGTAGAGCCACTAGACTGAGGAACAGCTTCTACCCTGAGGCTGTTAGACTCATGAATCTCTAACCAGAATAATCACTGTGAAAAAAATCACATAATGTTGCTGCTGATCTGTTTCATGTTGCTGCTGATCTGTTTCATGTTGCTGCTGATCTGTTTCATGTTGATGTGTTCGTGTGTGCACATCTGCTCACACAGACTCATGCTCATGTTTGTGCTGCTGTTCGACGTAATGTTTTTATGCTATTAGTGCTTAGTGTATTTTTAGTTGATGTTTTTCTCTGACTCCGAAATACTGACAAAAGTTTTATTGTTTAAAAAAAGTTTGTAATCAGAGAAATCATCTGAGCATATTTCTCTTTTTTTCTTCCATCAAATCAGCAGAACATAGCGACAAATAATAAAAAATAAAAACTCACAGTGCAGATCTGTTCTCCTGAGGCCGGCGCCGTTTAACCTCGGGCGTGCATGAGCCCATGATAGACTGGACCGTGACGAAGCGATCGTATCCATTCAGCATGTGGCGGATTTTTTCCGTCGGAACGTTATGTGCTGAACGCCTGCACATCAATACAGGCACAAAACGTGACATAGTTGTGCACTGCAGCGGTTTTTACTCGCGTACAACAGAAAAATAAGAAAATGTTTATTTTGTGTTTTATATTAAAACCAGGCAAACTGTTTGTGATCTTCCTCTTTCACCTTTCCAGTTCTCTGGGCTTGTGCCTCCACCAAGTATCTGGCTCTCTGAACAGAACCTTGTATGCATGTCTCAGCGCCTGGGACAGATTAAAAAACAAACAAACAGTGACTTTCTGGCATTTATAACAAAGTTACAGTACATCTAGTTCATAAAATCCATACATATGAATCTCAGTATTCCCTAAATCTTTTGTAGTCTCACATATTTTAACAAAAAGGGTTATCATGTACATTTAAAGACTTTGACTGCCAAAATGTGTATATACAGACAGAGGATGTGAAAAGTCTAGACTCTTGTTAAAATGTGAGGTAATAAAAATTAAACAAAAATAAATAACTTAGAAAGTTTTTCCACCTTTAATGCATTGTACAGAATATCCTGTAGAACTTGAATAAAAAAAATATAAATCTGTTGTGGGGAAAAACATGCAACAAGATGCGTACATAACCTTATAATTTGTGTATGCACATTCTGATTTAATTACAGCCTTCAGTCCTCTTGGGAAGGAGTCTATCAGCAGACCACACTTCACCTTGGCGATATCTGCTCGGTTCCTTCCAAAAATGATCACAATCTGTCAAGATTGTGAGGGCAGCTTTTTTTTTAGGTCACCACACAAATATAATCAAATTTATGTTTAGCCTCTATATATTTAGCTTGTCCTGATTTTTGTTGCAGGTTTTTAGAAGGCTTTTCTACTTTAACGTTTCTCGTTTAATAACTTCTTGAAGACCACCTTCACTGATTAATGAGATGTCTCATGCTGGGGAAATTGTACCCTCCGACTGGTACCGTTCAACAATTAAATCCTTACGATGCTTTGTGACGTCTCTGTGAACCACAGATTTTACTGACAGATGCACCTGAGTACATGTAAGGAAAATCCAGCTAGGACAGCTGAACTTTATTTCAGGTTGATAAGAGTCACCTTAACTGGTTGCAGGTCTGCAACCAACAAGACTGAAGGTGGTAATTAAACTGGAAGGTGTTAACAAATCATTAGTTGAAGGGTGAAGGCTGTTTATGCTGCTAGGAATCCACACAGCCAGAGACTCTCCATCACCTGCTGCCTGGCTTGCAAGGCACCTGACCTCAATGGTCCTCCTTGCAGGTGGTAGACTCACATAGAGGTGGCATCCTGCCACTCTTGTGGGCTTAGCCTGGTCCTGCCCCAGGAGCCAGGGCTCAACCACCAGGTCCTCGGTCGGCGAGCTCTCCCCCTGACAAGACTCGAGAGGGAGGGGAGGCCCCAGTTTGCCATTCCTGGGCAAGGTTTCCTGATGCAATTGATGTTCATCCATCAAGGTTCCTGAATCGCTCTTAGTCAGACCTCTCCCCTCGAGGCCTGTTTGCCATGGGAGACCCTACAGGGGCTGATATCCCCAGACAACACGCCCCCAGAATCACGAGGGATAGCAGAATCCTCTGCATCGAAATGAGTCCGTTGAGGTGGTGATTAGGATGCCTTCTGGACTTCAGGGCAGAATTTGCAGGATTATAGATCTCTCTGGCCTAGGTACCAGTACCTACGCCACAGGGTCCCCCCAGAAGAGCTGGAGAGTGTCGCTGGGGGAGGGAGGTCTGTGTTTCTCTTCTGGACCTGCTGCTTCTGTGACCCGACCACAGATAAGCAGGAGAAGATGGAGGTTACATGTCACAATAAAGGTGCAAAAAATTAAAAAAAGGTTTTTCACAATCTCATTCATTTCCATCACAAAACAGAATTTTTAACAGGAGTGTTGACTTTTCACATCCACTGTAGTGAGACGTGTAGTGCACAGTGATAGTGTTGTTATTTCCTAGGTGTTTTATGAGGCTGTGTGCAGCAGTTTTATTTGACCATTCTTCGAGTGCTCCTACCAAACTGAACAGACCTGAGCCACATATGGTTTCATCTCCCAGCTCTGCAGATTGGTGTTATCAATAATGATCGGGTTGATGCCCCTCTCAAAAGCCTCCTTGGCTGTGGGACACAAGTGAAATAAGACAGTCAAGAAGGAACCATACATTAGTTGTTTGATGAGAAGGTGAAAATACAAAAAAGAAAACAAACAAACACGCAGAGTAATTTGTTAGATGTAATTAAAACAAAAAAAACAAACACTTTAAAAGCTTACAAGCATTTTTAATTGATACTTCTTTATTCACATCAGCTGTGTGTGTGTTATTAACCTCGTTTGTGATTCCACTCATGGGCCTCTCCCAGGACAGAAGGGTCATACCAGTATCGTCCACAGCGGATGAAATAGTCGTCTGTGCTTAGGATGACTCCACCCGAGTTATGGTCCAACAAGGCTCTGCAGAGACGCAGAAAGATGGTGACACACAGACAGTGACAGCTGCAGCAGAGCTGGATACATTTACTTTCATCCATTTACAGTTGTGCCTTTTCAAAAGGTAACAATACATCATTTGCACTTGTTTAATGGACGTATAAAACAAATTAAACATGGTAAAAAGATAACAAAAGACTGCAAACATGTATGAGCCTTGATACTCAACGATTTGTAAACTTTTATTACACATCCCAGTGCAAACCTGATAACAGTTTTAAGCTTAAATATTTAATCAGCTTGAGGTCTGGACTATTTTCTGACAGGGCCATTGAGGTGTTTTTCAGCACTTTTTGTTCCTGGATGAAAAGAAGTGTTACAATTTTAATTTGTGGCTCTGCATATTCACCGTTGAGGCAACGATTGTCATCTCCTGTGGTCCTTTACCTGACATGCAGCCTCATCAATGACTGGGGAATGGTTATTTTCCATTCTGTCATGTTTAAATATTTCAGTGAATCTGCACTAAAAAGCTCCAGCATCTCCTTGTCTGTTTCAGCTTCATTACTAAACATCTCTTTCATTCAGTCATCCCTGTGACGGTTTTCCATTGGCCCTTATTTTCTTCTCTTTAGATAATTGTTTTCTTTATGTTTTGTATTGTTTCTGTCTTTTACAGTTTTTTTATTTTTTGATAACACTCGTTCCTTTAATTTAATATTTTCTATTTTCTTTGTATTCGCTCCAAGTTTTGAGCAACAACACTGTTTGCCAAACTCTGTTGAATTCATTTTTTAAAGGAAACAGGTCTCCTGACATGTCCGTGTTCCCATTTAGTACACAGTATAGATGGGCTCTCTCACCGTTAATAAATTTATACATGCTGGTACCTACACATAAGTACAAATACCTGCTGGTGCAGGCATTTGTTTTCACTGTATCTTCTACAAAGTCACAACACCGATCTGTAAAAGTAAATTTAGTATATAAAGCTTTAAAAGAAAAAGTATAAAACAAGATATGAGGAATTTGTCCTAAGCTCAGTTCTGACAAACCAAGAAATAAAAAGTCAAACAAAAAATGAATGATCTCCTGTCCTAGTGTGTAACTATGATTTAGTGATATAATAAAAACAAAACATTAAGAATAGCAAGCCTGAAAACAAATGAGCACTTTCTGTTAAATTGTACTTTAGTAGTGTGGTCTCCAAGTCAACAAACAAATAACATTAAAAAATATACCAAATGAAATGACTAGACTATCAGAGGCTTTTTACCTTGCCAGGGTTGACTTTCCAGATCCAGGAGCGCCACGAAGCAGCACCAACACCTTCCCTTGCAAATACAACCTGTTGAGGTGAGCCGGAGCCGGCCCAGAAGCCGGCTGGGCCCAAGAGTTGGGAATAGCAGTAGCAGGTTTGCGAGGGGCCTGAGTAAAAGGTCCCTGACTCAACCAAGGAGAGGAATGCCTGGTTTGACCGAGCCAGACTGAGGGTGCCTGAGCTACAGGGGTGATGAAGGCTGGCCTCTGGTTTCCATGGATCGGGGGGAAAAACACTGGCGCTGTCGAGTTCCAGGGTGATGGCATGTAGTTATCTGGATTGCTACTTAGCAGATTCACTTTGGATCTTGCTCCATTGCCTACTGAATCTGAGTCCGGGGGCCCAGTCCTCCCTGAAAGAGCGTGACATGGGTCCTGCTTTTTATACACCTGGAAAGCTGAGGGACGCCCTGAGGCTGCCAGGTCAACAGGAGGTTTTGACTTGTCTGGAGACGTATTGGTCACCAAATGTGTGAAATCCAGCACATCTTTCTGCACCTCTGGGATCTGATCGTCACTGGTGTGGTGTTGGTTGAGCTGACAGGACGCTCCAGACAAATGCTCCACCAAGCCTCCCGATGGTGATGGCCGATTAGTGATACACTCTCTAGATCCAGCATCCAGGCTGCTCTGAAGAAGCTCTGGGAGTGTCTGCTGATGAACAGGTAGTGAAGGGGAAGTTGAGAGTGGTACTTCAGCAGATGGCATGCTACTGCGCTGCTCTTCCTTAACATCTTGTTGTACCACTAGTGTCTCTAACTCTTGATCAAGTAGCAGGTCCAGCTCTTCGGTCAGCAAAGGATCAGAAGAGTTTGCCGCCGAGTGCGTGTCGTCAGGTTCTGGTTCAGAAAAGTGACGTGGACTGAGCAACGCTGAAGCGGTGTGCTCAAAGCCAGAAACAGGAGGAGGATTCACGGTTAAAACTTCAGCAGCCACAGACAGCTCCAGCAGGGAGTCCATTGCATTTTCAACTACAACACACAGAACCCCAAAAAAATAACTAAACACAAGGAGTAAATAGTCACATTTACACAAATGGTTGAAACTTACATCGACCAGCTGAAATAAAACCAATACCGGTTCAGCTAAAATGGAACTAAACAACTCAGCTTGTGAACAAACCATCATTGCAAAACAAGTTTCATTAAAGCAGCTTTGTTTAAACATAATAACCAATGTTTATTTTTGTTTCTATATTTGTTTTACAAACCGGATTCCAAAAAAGTTGGGACACTAAACAAATTGTGAATAAAAACTGAATGCAATGATGCGGAGATGGCAAATGTCAATATTTTATTCGTAATATAACATAGGTGACAGATCAAAAGTTTAATCTGAGTAAATGTAACATTTTAAAGGAAAAATATGTTGATTCAAAATTTCACAGTGTCAACAAATCCCAAAAAAGTTGGGACGAGCAGCAATAAGTGGCTGGAAAAAGGAAATTGAGCATATAACGAACAGCTGGAAGACCAATTAACACTAATTAGGTCAACTGACAACATGATTGGGTATAAAAAGAGCTTCTCAGAGTGTCAGTGTCTCTCAGAAGCCAAGATGGTAAGAGGATCACCAATTCCACCATTGTTGCGCAGAAAGATAGTGCAGCAATACCAGAATGGTGTTACCCAGCGTAAAATAGCAAAGACTTTTAAGTTATCATCATCAACCGTGCATAACATCATCAAAAGATTCAGAGAATCTGGAACAATCGCTGTGCGTACGGGTCAAGGCCGTAAAACTCTACTGGATGCTCGTGATCTCTGGGCCCTTAAACGTCACTGCTCCTCAAACAGGAATGCCACTGTCAAGGAAATAACAGAATGGGCTCAGGAATACTTCCAGAAAGCATTGTCAGTGAACACAATCCAATGTGCTGTCCGTCGTTGCCAGCTGAAACTCTACATTGCAAAGAGGAAGCCATTTTCAAGCAAGCTCCACAAGCTCAGACGTTTGCACTGGGCCAGGGGTCATCTAAAATGGAGTGTGGCAAAATGGAAGACTGTTCTGTGGTCAGATGAGCCACAATTTGAAGTTCTTTATGGAACACTGGGACGCCATGTCATCCGGACCAGAGAGGACAAGGATAGCCCAAGTTGTTATCAACGCTCCGTTCATAAGCCTGCATCACTGATGGTATGGGGTTGCATGAGTGCTTGTGGCATGGGCAGCTTGCATGTCTGGAAAGGCACCATTAATGCAGAGAACTATGTTCAGGTTCTAGAACAACATATGCTCCCATCTAGACGTCATCTCTTTCAGGGAAGACCCTGCATTTTTCAACACGATAATGCCAGACCACATTCTGCAGCAATCACAACATCATGGCTACGTAGGAGAAGGATCCGGGTACTGAAATGGCCAGCCTGCAGTCCAGATCTTTCACCTATAGAGAACATTTGACGCATCATAAAGAGGAAGGTGCGACAAATAAGGCCCAAGATGATTGAACAGTTAGAGGCCTGTATTAGACATGAATGGGAGAGCATTCCTATTTCTAAACTTGAGAAACTGGTCTCCTCTGTCCCCAGACGTCTGTTGAGTGTTGTAAGAAGAAGGGGGGATGCCACACAGTGGTAAAAATGGACTTGTCCCAACTTTTTTGGGATTTGTTGACGCCATGAAATTTGGAAACAACAGATTTTTCCCTTAAAATGATACATTCTCTCAGTTTAAACTTTTGATCTGTGATTTGTGTTATATTCTGAATAAAATATTAGATGTTGGCACCTCCACATCATTGCATTCAGTTTTAATTCACAATTTGTTTAGTGTCCCAACTTTTTTGGAATCCAGTTTGTAGCTTTTATTCACTGTTCAAATGTCCTATTTAGCTGCTTTTTATACTTGTATTTTAACATCTGACTGAACTGTGAAGCATTTGGTAATCTTCAGATGTTATTAATGTGCAGGAGAAATAAAACTGGCATTGAAACATGACTCATGCAGTGTCCTTGCGTCAGTTGTACATTGTTGCTTTTGTACTCAACTCAATACATTTTGTATTGAACGCTTTTTGAATTCAACTCAATAAAACAAATCAGCCACTGGGGAGAACAAGCCAGTGTATCTCTTGTGCCAGTCCCAAGCCTGGGTAAATGGTGAGGGTTGTGTCAGAAAGGGCATTCGAGGTAAAACACTTTTGCCAAAACTAATATGCGAGTTCATCTAAGCAACACCATACCAGATCGGTCAAGGTCTGGGTTAACAACGACCGACAACTGTGCTGTTGACAAACAGGGTGTTGGCAGAAATTGTGCTACTGTTAGTCGAAGACCACGAGGAGAGAAACATGTCAGGAGACAGAGGGAGAAGAGGAAAGTCAAGAATATTGGACAGAGGGTGGCAACTCTTAATGTGGAGACAATGACAGGCAAAGGTAGAGCACTGGCTGACATGATGCAGAGAAGGAAGGTAGATGTTTTATTTGTCCGAGAGACCAAGTGGAAGGGCAGCAAGGCTCGCAGCATTGGAGAAGGGTTTAAACCAAGGCTATTCAACAAAACTGCTCAGGGGGCCACAGTTTCTGAAGGCCAGCAGCTCAGGGGCCGGGCGTCCAGTAATTAAAAGTCGTTATGCAAATAAACCAAGTATTAGAATGATCTGTTACCTTTTAAAATTGTTTGTTTTATTGCACTGAATCATAAACGCAATAAACAGAAGCCAAAACTCAAACAGAGAACCCCCGCCCCCTTTTTAATTTTATTTTGTAATTAACTTATTGGTGGGCCGGATTGAAGTCACCAGCGGATCGGAAGTGGCCCACGGGCCGCCAGTTGAACGGCCCTTTTAATGTGCTTTGACGGCCATGAAAGGACAAACAACCCCTCAGCTCCAATCTTCTGCCCCCTTTTACTCATTCGAGTGCATCCGCCGACTATTAATAACTATATAAGCAGTCAAAGCTTAATTAAAAATGTCCGGGGGGGGGGGGGGGGGAGATTCAGATCTGTAATTACTGTTATTTCGGCGGGTCGGGTGGGGTTTGGAAATGATGTCTATGGGCTGGAGCCGAGTCGGATTTTTTGGGCCCGAATGCAACCCCAGGGTAACTTCTAAAAACTGAAGGTCTCTCTCACATTGACTAATGTTAATGTTCATGAGTCCACCATCAGGAGAACACTGAACAACAATGGTGGTCATGGCAGGGTTGAAGGAAGAAACCACTGCTCTACAAAAAGAACATGGCTGCTCGTCTGCAGTTTGATAAAGATCATATGGACAATCCAGAAGACTGTTGGAAGAAAGTTTTGTGGACAGATGAGACCAAAATAAAACATTTTGGTTTAGATTTGGTTTCTTAGCCTCCATTGGACCCTCTGTTCTTGACATTATAAACAGCAGTATGGCTACAGGTGTGGTTCCTGACGCTTTTAAACATGCAGTGGTAACTCCTTTAATACAAAAACCCGGACTTGACCCTTCAACCTGCTCAAACTTCAGAACCATCTCCAAACTTCCCTTTCTTTCTAAGATCCTGGAGAAAATAGTTTTCACTCAATTAAACGAGTTCTTGAGTGGAAATTCTATTCTTGAGATCTTTCAGTCTGGCTTTAAGAAACTACACAGCACCGAAACAGCCTTAGTTAGGGTCTGCAACGACATTCTTCTGGCAAATGACTCTGGTCAGTCTGTAGTCCTGGTACTCCTTGACCTTACCGCTGCATTTGATACTGTGGACCACAGTATCCTTTTATCCCGGCTAGAACACTGGGTTGGGATTACTGGTGCAGCGTTAGAATGGTTCCATTCATACCTGAGCAACAGGAGTTTCTGTGTTAATTTTGCTAACACTATCTACTTCAGTGCCTCTTTCCCGCGGGGTCCCACAAGGCTCCATTCTTGGACTCCTTCTGTTTTCTTTGTATCTCCTCCCCGTAGGGTCTATCCTGAGGAAACATGGTCTTTCCTTTCATTGTTATGCTGATGACTCTCAGATTTATCTGCTGTTAACACCCAACAGTTCCTTCTCCATTCGCCCTTTGTTAAAATGTCTTGATGACATCAAGACTTGGATGGCTGCAAACTTTTTGAGTTTTAATGATCAGAAGACTGAGGTCATTGTGTTTAACCCTAGCTCTGCCACTGATCCTGCAAACCAGGACTCCCTTCAGCCATATCTAAAACAGTCTGTTACCAATCTCGGGATAGTTTTAGACTCAGACTTTAAGTTTAATAAGCAGATAAATTCTGTTCTTCAAAAAAGCTTCTTTCAGCTAAGGCAGATAGCTAAGCTCAAGTCCGTCCTGTCCAGATCCGACCTTGAAAAATTAGTCCATGCATTTATTACAACCCGGCTGGACTACTGTAACTCGCTTTATGCTGGGGTCAGTCAGGTCTCTCTCTCTCAGGTCCCCAGCTTGTCCAAAATGCTGCAGCTCGGCTACTAGCAGGAACTCACAGGTTTGAGCACTTTACTCCAGTTCTGTCCTCTCTTCACTGGCTTCCTGTGCGTGTCAGAGCTGATTTTAAGATTATTCTGCTGACATTTAAGTGTCTTAATGGCCTTGCACCCTCATGCCTCTCCGACCTCCTTCATCCTTATACTCCTTCTCGGGCCTTGAGATCATCAGACCAGCTGCTTTTGTCCGTACCAAAAACCAGGCTGAAGCTCAGAGGAGATTGGGCATTTTCAGTCATGGGCCCTAAACTCTGGAACAATCTGCCCATCAACATTCGACAGGCCACCTCAGTCTCTATTTTTAAATCTCTCCTCAAAACACATCTGTACTCATTGGCATTTAACACAGTGTGATCTCATTTGGTATTTCATTGTTGATGATTGTGTTCATCCATTTTGCTTTTACTCCCTGACATTTAACGCAGGGTGATTTGATTTAGTATTTCATTGTTTCTCATTATATTTAATGTTTTTATGCTTTTATTCATGTTGCTATAATATGTTGTTATTAATATTTGATGCTGTGATCTTTTTTGGTATGAACTTTGATAACAGTTACTGTTTTAAATGTGCTATATAAATAAATGTGACTTGACTAGATGAAAAGTCTTGTGTTTGGAGAAAGGAAAACTCTGCATTCCTGCATAAGAACTTTATCCCATCTGTGAAACATGGTGGTAGTATCATGGTTTGGGCCTGTTTTGCTGCATCTGGGCCAGGACTTCTAGCCATCATTGATGGAACAATGAATTCTGAATTATATCAGAGAATTCTAAATGAAAATGTCAGAACATCTGTCCATGAACTGAATCTCAAGAGAAAGTGGGTCATGCAGCGACACAATGACCCTAAACACACAAGTGGTTCTACCAAAGCATGGTTAAAGATTAAAGTTAATGTTTTGGAATGACTAATTCAACTAATCTTAATCCAATAAAAATGTTGTGGAAGGACCTGAAGCAGCAGTTAATGTTAGGAAACCCACCAACATCCCAGAGTTTAATCTGTTCTGTATAGAGGAATGGGCTAAAACTCCTTCAAGCTGGTGATCAGGACTGATCAACAGTTACCAGAAACAGTTATTGCTGCACGGGGGTGGTGTGTGTGTGGGGGGTGGGGGGGTGGGCAGATACTGAAAGAAAAGTTTCACACATTTTTGTCACTCACAAATATGTTATATTGGATAAATTTCCTCAATAAATAAATAACCAAGTATATTTTTTATCTCATTTCTTTAACTGGGTTCTCTTTTATCTACGTTAGGACTTGTGTAAAAATCTGATGATGTTTTAGGTCATATTTGTGCAGAAATATGCAAAATTCTAAAGAGTTCACAAACTTTCAAGCACCACTGTACAGGTACTGGTCATAAAATTTGAATATTATGAAAAAGTTGATTTAGTTCAGTAATTCCATTCAAAAAGTGAAACTTGTTTATTATATTCATTCATTACACACAGACTGATATATTTCAAATATTTATTTATTTTAATGTTGATGATTATAACTGACAACTAATGAAAACCCCAAATTCAGTATCTCAGAAAATTAGAATACTGTGAAAAGGTTCAGTATTGAAGACACCTGGTGCCACACTCTAGTCAGCTGATTAACTCAAAACACCTGCAAAGGCCTTTAAATTGTCTCTCTGTCTAGTTCTGTAGGCTACACAATCATGGGGAAGACTGCTGACTTGACAATTGTCCACAAGACAACCATTGACACCTTGCACAAGGAGGACAAGACACAAAAGGTCATTGCTAAAGAGGCTGGCTGTTCACAGAGCTCTGTGTCCAAGCACATTAATAGAGAGGTGAAGGGAAGGAAAAGACGTGGTAGAAAAAAAGTGTACAAGCAATAAGGATAACTGCACCCTGGAGAGAATGGTGAAACAAAACCCATTCCAAAATGTGGGGGAGATTCACAAAGAGTGAACTGCAGCTGGAGTCAGTGCTTCAAGAACCACCACGCACAGAAGTATGCAGACATGGGTTTCAGCTGTCACATTCCTTGTGTCAAGTCACTCTTGAACAAGAGACAGCGTCAGAAGCGTCTTGCCTAGGACTGTTGCAGAGTGGTCCAAAGTTATGTTCTCTGATGAAAGTAAATTTTGCATTTTCTTTGGAAATCAAGGTCCCAGAGTCTGGAGGAAGAGAGGAGACACAGAATTCACGTTGCTTAAGGTCCAGTGTCAAGTTTCCACAGTCAGTGATGTTTGCGGGGCCATGTCATCTGCTGGTGTTGGTCCACTGTGTTTTCTGAGGTCCAAGGTCAACACAGCTGTCTACCAGGAAGTTTTAGAGACTTCATGCTTCCTGCTGCTGACCAACTTTATGGAGATGCAGATTTCATTTTCCAACAGGACTTGACACCTGCACACAGTGCCAAAGCTACCAGTAACTTGTTTACGGACCATGGTATCCCTGTTCTTAATTGGCCAGCAAACTCATCTGACATTAACCCCATAGAAAATATGTGGGGTATTGTGTAGACGAAGATGTGATACACCAGACCCAACAATCAGAAGAGCTGAAGGCCACTATGAGAGTAACCTGGGCTCTCATAACACCTGAGCAGTGACACAGACTGATCGACTCCATGTCACGCTGCATTGCTGCAGTAATCCAGGAAAAAGGAGCTCCAACTAAGTACTGAGTGCTGTACATGCTCATACTTTATGTTCATACTTTTTATGTTCACACTTTTCAGTTGGTCAACGTTTCTAAAAATCCTTTTTTTTTATTGGTCTTAAGTAATATTCTAATTTTCAAATACTGAATTTGGGGTTTTCATTACTTGTCAGTTATAATCATCAACATTAAAAGAAATAAACACTTGAAATATATCAGTCTGTGTGTAATGAATGAATATAATATACAAGTTTCACTTTTTGAATGGAATTACTGAAATAAATAAACATTTTCATGATATTCTAATTGTATGACCAGCACCTTTAGAGGGTATGGAGGTGGTTGGAGTGAGGACAGAGGATGCAGAGAACAGAGTGAGATGGAAGAGGATGACTCGCTGTTGCCACCCACTGAAGAGGGAAAAGCTGAAAGAAGAAGACTCAACTTGAAACATTTAGTAATGCTTTGATGGAGACAATGTCATCTATACCCATAGATCTAAGGAGACAGATGGGAGATGTTAGTAGAAACAACTCAACATGCAGCTGAAGTTTAGTATGCTAGTTGTATGATTAACATGAGATTTACCCTGAAAATTGTCAAAATGTGTCAATCACAACTTTTCAAGAAGCAGCAAGCTATCAGGCTAACTGGCTAGCTGAGTTACAATGTAAAGCAGTCGTCAAAGTAGCACTGTAGGTCGGACAGGTGCTCTTCCGAGTACTTTTAGTACCTTTATAGTCACATTCAGACAGCACGATGTGTATAACATCTGGGTCCAGGTGTGAAAACATCTCCTGCATGCCTTTAACGAGTCTCTCCTTTTTGGCACTGCTGGTCTCCAATGTGGTCCTGGGTTGAACGTCGCTCGCAACGGCGAAATTACTATTTCTGTGTGGCAGTGGGGGGAAACTCGTGCTGTGGCCGAGGTTTCCTCCTTTGGGCGGCCCAGCGGGCTGCCTGGCCGGGCTCTGGCAGTTTTTCTTCCTCCGAGGCATACTGAAGAAGCGCAGCGGCACCGTTGAAGATTAACCGCATCAGGCTAATCGGCTAATGCTAATGCGGCTAACGATTAGCCGCTAACGGAGCTAACTAGCGGCTGGACAGTTCAAAGAGAGACGTCCCGACTGCTACAAACAAAAACATGCCACTGTGACTGGAGAAGTGCATAAATTCCAGTTTCCCAACAGCACTCCAAGTGGTGGAAACTTGTCGCGAAAAACTTGTCTCTGCAACCGTAGCCTAGTGAACACCGGAAGTAGTGACTTTAAAAATAATAGCTTGCGCTCTTGAAATATGTTTTTTTTTTAATCAGCACAAATTTACTTTCAGCAAACTTTAAATAACGTTTCGTAAATGTGTGTTGTATTTAGAAAAATCACAAAAAAAACAACAGAAATTGTTTTTAGTGACGCAAAACATTTAATAGCCAACACACGAACGTCACAACCTGTCGCCAGTAGATGGCGCTGTTTTCCAACAAACCACAGCGCCAAAGCCGTTTTCTCTGGTACAGCTTTAGTAATGGTGATGCATTTACACGCTTTGATTGTAAAAATTCCAGGTTGCATTGATTAGGGACTGCACTCATCTTTCTTTTCTTTACACATCTAGCAAATATAACATGTAAAGTGAGTACGCTTCCTGCTGTTTGTTTCCAACTCCCGCCATGTATTTGAAATTGCAATACCGCAGTGAGACCGATGGGGGCGCTCTGCACCCAGCTTTCATTGACTGAACGGACAGGGAGCTTTGTGCCGAAAACTAAACCAATCTGAGTCAGCCTAATGAATTAAAACGGCCCATTTGAGAGGTAAATACTACAAAAGAAGCGCTTGCGTAACATCCAGGCTTTCGGGTTGTAGCTGCTTATTTAATGATGGAATCGTTTTGCAATTTGTTGGGGTGTTTCTAATCATCCGTGGGGCAAGTTCTTGGTTGAGAGAGGAGGGCTCAGGGCGACGGTAGCTGCCCTGCCTCGCCTGTTAAACTAGCGGCAGTACGGAGCGATGCTCGGAAGTTGAGAAAAGACCGAAACAAGTAAATTAGCTTTTGTTTTAAACTTGTTAAAGTGGCTGTATTGGTGGAAAACCAAAGGAGCTGACCACGATCATGGCTGTTTTAGGCAAAGCTGATAGGATACTTGACTTCCTCTGTGATTGTGAACGCAGACGCGATGGGTACCTGGATAGTTTGCGGCCTAGGCTAACACAGTAAGCTAACTGTTAGCTTCATTCCCGCAAAATGTTAGCCTGTGTTGTTTGTACGGAAGCTAACTAGCTAACTTGATAACCTGTTTGGCAGTATAGATGCGCTGACTGTGTTGTTCGTAAAGTACTTTTTCAGCAACATAGCTCTGTAGATGTGTCATCTACGTAGCTGTTACACTCCTTTCTGTTTCCACACATTGTCATGTGAAAAAAACAATACGTAAAAATTAGCTGGGGTAGTTTAGCCTGTAAGCTAATAACATTCAGGATGCTGCTTCGGCGGTGGGTTTTCGTGATGAATGTGCTAACTATAAACGCTATTCTGTGTTTTTGCGTGGTTTTATTAATATTAGCGGGTAACTGTTATGGTCGGGGCACAAAAACAATACGTAAAGCGAGGTTTTTGGTGAGTATATTAGCATGGTTTGTGCTGAACTGTTGTTTTCTGACCCGTAGAGGCCAGTAGAAGACCGTGTGGACCAGACGACATCAACAAGCATGGAGTTCCCGCAGCAGCAGAAACCAGCGGGGGACGGAAAGATTATCTACCCGCCCGGAGTAAAGGAGATCACGGATAAAATCAGCAACGATGAAGTGGTCAAACGACTGAAGGTATGCAGATGGAGCTGTGTCTATGCTGGGCCAAGAAACATCTTTAACCCCAGGCTGTTGTGGTTTGTCTTTAAACGGTGCACAGTGACATGATGCATTAAGTGGTTGTTGGTATCCTCCTGATGCATGCTCAATAATCCAGGTAGAAACATCTAACTAAGTTAAGTCTGGTCCTCTGGATGGATTAAAAAGTAAAATTAAAAACTTGTTGAAACGTTTTGTCTTTAATCCAAAAGACTTCGTGATAACGCCTTCTCATAGTTCATCAACCAGTTTGTTGTTGACATCCAAAACTAGCCATTTACGTGATAGGAGGACCATCAGCCTAACAGTTGGTTGTTAGTGCCCTGAGGCCGCTTACTATTCACAGAGAGCCGAGTGAAACTAGCAATAACAGCATTGTAAGAGGGGGACAGTTGAGCACGGAGGCCTCGACCCCTGTTTAATGATGGACGGTTTCTCTTCATAAAGATGGCCTCCTTTACTCCTCTCTCAAACCATCGTTCCTCTATCAAGGATGTGCACATCTTCATCCCTGAAAGAGTGACCGCTGGTGTGCAGATGAGTGTAGACCGCAGAGTCCTGGCCTGATGATGTTGATCTTCTAGCTTCTGGCTGGGCCATCCTTTTGGCCAGTGGCTGTTTAGTTTCCCCGATGTAAGACTGATCACCCTCCTGACGCTGAACAGCATACACAATATTATTCTTTGTGCCGGGGGACTGGATCTTTGGGATAAACCAGTCTAATGTATTTTGGGGTTTAAAAGCCACTGGGACGTCATGTTTAGAAAATAAACATCTCAGTTTCTCTGATACTCCTGCAACATATGGAATGACCACTGGTCTGGGTCTGGGTTCCTCCTTTTCATCTGGTGACTGGCTGGAGTCCTGTTTGGGTTTTTCCTCTGCTTTCAGGAAGGCCCAGTTAGGATATCCAGTGGTTTTTAGTAGCTGTTGGTGTTTGACATACTGTAGATTGGTTAAAAAAAATACTGTATCATTATTTTTTTGTTGCTAGATTTTTCCTTAGAGAAACTTGGACTAACTTTGAAGAATGAGCACATGACTTTGCGTCATTGTTTAAGTTATTTGGTTAATTTGTATGGCTTGTGTACATTTGTGATCTTTAGTTTATGGTTAACACTGGACTTATATTAAGTGAACATTTGTTTGGGGATTTCATATGTGATTGCTCATGTTTTGAACCAATGGATATCTAAGAACTATAACAAATGCTTTTTTTAAAATAAGAAATTCATCTGCCTTTTCCTAGTTTCCATGTATGTGAGCCGTACAGTGACAATAAAGATATTTCTATAATAAAAGATTTACAAATAAATTGATAAATATACCAGATTTTGTACTAAAACTTAAAAACAAAGTACCTGGCAGAGCTCTTTATTTGTTTGTTTGGTTCTCTTGTGAGAGGCATCTTTTATCCTTCAACATATGCATGATAATGAATTATTATTAAAAAATTCTAATGTCTGAGGATTTTGTAGCAGCAGCGTTGTGCTTTTATTTTTTTGCAACAGCGTTATGCTGCAGTGATAAGAAAAGCTTCACTGTTGTTTGTAAACTACCTGTAATTTCATGCACACCAATTAATCAAGTCATCTAAACAAATGATCAACTGTTATCTTTTTCTCTCATACTTGAAAATATTGTTCCAACAAAGATTGAGTTTGTTCATAACTGTGTCGCTGTGTACATGACATAATATGCATATGTTAGGAACACTTGGATGTGCTGGTAAGGGGTCATGCTGTTGAATATGGAACCTGTTTTAGGTAACAACCGTTCTGTAAAATGTCTGAACATTTGCAGTTTTTAAAATAGTTGATAGTCAAATTAATTGGCTGTTTTGCACTTACTCTATTGGATTTATGTAAGGTACCGGTAAATACTATCCACCGTATTCCTAACCCTATGCTGTCTTGCGTGAATTATGGGTTTGACTTCCTGCGCGGACCAGAAACGTCATTATATGTGTGAACGAACAGTACGAGCTAATGTAGTTTCTCTGAGCACTGTGGATTTAATTTAAACCTGTAGGAACACCACCTGTCAGAGCTCAAACAGGACAATATACTGTAATTATACTGCTGCAGACGAGGGATGGAGGATGACCTGAAGAAGTGGCCACAGATTACATATACTAGCATATTTTGGCTACTTCATAGACTCGGTCGCTTCCGACTGTGAAGAAATGAACACCCTGAATGAAAAGTTCTGAGGTGTATTAATATCTACACAGTAATGAGGTCGGTCATGTTTTGTTAAGAGGTGGGACACAATCTTATTTAGCTTAAAGCAGACATAGAGCCCAGCCAAAGCCTTAAAGTCCTCCATCATCGAGCTTGGGTTGATTACAGAGAAAATTATCCATCAGCTGTTTGTCAACAAAGAGAAATGAGACCACTTACAGTGAGCTCATTTCACATAAATGAGCTCACATTATGGGAGTGGTGGTGCAGAGGTTAGAGAAGATGGGCCTGTGATCGGAAAGTCGCAGGTTCAACTCCCGGTACCGTCAACTTCAAAATGTGGGTGGAAAAGGTGAAACACCCACACCTGCCTCCACCCTCATTTGCCCCACTCTGGGTCACAGAGCAAGGCCCTTAACCCCCGCCACCTGCTCCCAAAAACAGGTCTCTCTTGAAAATGAGTTCTGGTGACTCAATGAGACTACCTGTATAAATAAAGTGTAAATGAAAAGGGGGGGGGGGGGGGATCAGCGTTTTGAGTGGTCCCTTTGAGTTCAGATTTTTCAGCCACATTCTTCTAATTTCTTCATTTGTACGTAGTAGTGGTTGAATAGACTAGTCGATTCTACGACATCTCGCAAGTTTTTAAATTTCATGTCGACTAGTCGCAGTCGGTGATTGTGTCACATGATCAGTGCTGGGCCGCTGGCTACAAAAAAGATTCTTTCAAGCAGATGGAAGGCGAGGAGCAGGCAAAGTCTTCCCAAACAGGTAGAAATTCATCAACAGTGTGGAAGCATTACACTAAAGATTATCTTGTTTTTAGTTTCATTTAATTCACGGTGTGATCCCACTTTAAAAATTATGTAGTCGTTCAATCCCTAGTTGGTAGGTGATGGAAACTACCGGTTTACCGCTTTTCACAGGAGCACACTTTTTTGTTGTTTTGTTTTGGGTCCGTGTTCAAAACTCTGTTGTATCCACTGACTTCGTTTGGTCTGGTTGTTCGTGCAGAGGTGAACACAACATGTTCCTGAACTCCACAAGGCTATTTTAGTCAACTTTATGCTTGTTAAACAAATGTAAACAAAACAAAAACAGTGTTTTATCTGCTACACTGAATGCAAATTGCGTTCAGATAAACCGCGGTCCGTGCTCCAACTACCATGATTAGCCTATGTTAAGTAGTACCATAATCATTTATACAGTAGATCCCCCAAGAATATGGTCTGTAGAAGGTACTTGTCTATTCGTCGGGAAAACAATACTTCTGTTTCGAAGGAATGAGGCCATGAGAGAGAGCAACAATAGAAAGTGCCCTAATTATTTTATTTTTATTTTTGTTGGTAAATGTTTTGTATCAAATCTGCAGTTGTATATATTTACATTGCTGTCGCAGCTGCTGTAAACAGTTGAGGTTAATATAGTTACATCAAGGTTCATGCTCAATAATCCAGGTTAAAAAAAAAAAAATCTAAAAATGTGTTCAGTCGGGTCATCTGGACAGTTTCTTTTTCTTTTTTGAGAGAGAGACATTTCGTCCTTCATCCAAAGGACTTCATCAATCTGAGGAGCCACAAACAAACCGTCCTACAAACAGCACTTTCTCATAGTGGACCAACCAGTTTGTTGGTGATAAGATGGCTTCTGGGGGCCGCCCTCTCCCCTGTCGACTCTTCCCAGGCAGCCACAGCCAAGTGATTCAGAACATCAAGGTTCATGCTCTATCATAATAATTATGCCTGGGAGGAGTCAACAGGGGAGAGGGCGGCTCCCAGAAACCATCTTATCACCAGCAAACTGGTCGTCCACTATGGGAGTGTGCCGTTTGTGGAACACAGTTTGTTTGTAGCTCCTCAGATTGAGGAAATCCTTTGGATGAAGGATGAAACGTCTCCCAATAAAAGAAACCTTCCATATGACCTGACTGAACATTGTTGGATTTATTGTATATATAGGGATGCACCGATACACTTTTCCCACTTCCGATGCCTGCATTGCAGCGTCGGTCGATACCGAGCCAATTCCGATCTGATACAGACAAACAGTGCTGAATTAACAAAAATGTCTAAATCATGTCATCAGGACCCGTTTCTGAAACAGGTCCAGATGACATGATGTAGCCATTTTTGTTGTCCACCTGGATGATTGAGCTTACAAACCCAGTGCTGAATTAACTTAAAACATTAGTTTTTTTAAACGCAGACATGAAGGTACTGAATTACAAATTTATTGAAAGCTCTGCACCAGAGCAGCACACTTAAACACACCAAGAGCTTCACAAGCTCGGTCAAACATGTAAAAACAACACTACTGTATTTTGTTCAGTCAGTACACTAACACGTGACGTCACTCAGAGCACAAAGCATAGAATTAGAGTGAATAGATCTGCCGTGTCATGGATCAGTCACATTGTCACTGATACCTGATCCAGAAGGTTTTTTTTTTTCAATATTGGTACCGATATTGGTATCGGATCGGTGCATCTCTATTTATATAATTACCCTAGTCAAGTCAGATTTATTAATAGAGCACATTTAAAACAGAAACTGTTACCAAAGTGCTTAACAAAAATATCACATCAAATGAAAAGTAGCAAGATATATTCACAGCACATGGAATAAAAATATAAAACCAAAAACAGTTAGAAACAATGAAATACTAAATCAGATCACGTTGTGTCAAAAGTCAAGGAAATAATAACAAAAAGCATAAACTCAGTCAAACAATGAAATATTAAATCAGATCTGATGACCTTGTGTTAAATAGGAATAATAACAAAAGCATAAACAG